TTTTGTTTTGTTTTAGATTTTAATGTCTGTTTTCTGCCTCTGTAAAGCACTTTGTGATTTTATCTTGAAAGGTACTATATAAATAAAATTTTATTTATTTATTTACTTTGCTCATCAAGAATTAAAGCAGTTCTGAAAGCAAAAGAGAGTCCGATCAAACTCTAGTAAAGTGTATCTAATGAAGTGGCTGGTGATTAAATGTCAGTATGTAGCAGCAGGAGGCTAAAATCTCTTCCTCCTACTTGAAATCTCATTCAATTTTCCATTTCAGTTTATTTCCAGCACGACCGTACTGCAAAGCCAAAAGTCTCTTTGAAATTTCTTCTTTTTATTGGCGTTTCCCTTGAGAAAGTGCGTTGTGATTCTTTTGTGAACCAACTGCATCATCTGTGAAAGCTGTAATTTGGCTGCACAGGAAGACGTCAAAAAAACATGTAAACAAAAAGAAACGGCAGAAACAGATGTTTTAAGAGGGAGCGGGGCGCGTGTGCACGAGGCCGTGCATGAGGCCGCGCTCATGCCAGCGTGTGACTGGATATACTAAGTGTCTGACATGCGTTTTGTGCCAGCAGTTTTGATTCACAGGACGCCGCATGGAACATGGCAGCGAGCCTCGCCATAATGTCATTGGGGAAAATCATCCAGCTTCGTTTCTTTTGATCCTGCAAGAATCAAACGAACTGAAAAAAACTTCATAGAGGTTTTATCCAATAACCGGGGAGACGTTAAAACAAAACGAAGGAAGCATGCCAGACACAAAGAAAATTTTGATTCATGCCAGACACTAAGAAAATTTTGATTTGGGCAGCGTTAGAGTGCCAAGAACATGAAAATGTTTTATGGAACGTATTTTGATGCTGTCTAAAAGAATTTTGTAGAACTTGGTTTTTATTTGCCACTTAAGGCCTCCTTTAATTTTATTTGCATGTTCATATTAGAGGATTGGCATTGTGGGTGCTTTTGCTGCTGGTATCGAATTAGGTGACTTTAAAGTATCATTTAACAAAAACCACTTACAAAATATGCAAGTCTTTTTAGACAGCATTATTTAAGGGAGAGTTCAAGTAATCGACTAAGGTCACCAGAAGACAGAATTCATTCACGCTTTATACTCCTGGATCTGCTCTTTTCTGAACTCAGCTGTTTCTGTCAAATTTTAAGGCCCACTTACAGGACAGAATGACTGTAATCAGAAGTTAGTGAAGGTGGGCTCTGATTATGCAGCTACCATCCATCCATCTTCATCCGCTTTATCCGAGGCCGGGTTGCGGGGGCAGCAGCCTAAGCAAAGAGGCCCAGACCTCCCTCTCCCCAGCCACCTCCTCCAGCTTATCCGGGGGAACATCAAGGCGTTCCCAGGCCAGCCGAGAGATATAATCTCTCCAGTGTGTCCTGGGTCTGCCCCTGGGCTTTCTCCCGGTGGGACATGCCCGGAACACCTCACCCAGGAGGCGCCCAGGAGGCATCCTTGTCAGATGCCCAAACCACCTCAGCTGGCTCCTTTCGATGTGGAGCAGCAGCGGCTCTACTCTGAGCCCCTCCCAGATGGCTGAACTTCTCACCCTATCTCTAAGGGAGAGGCCAGCCACCCTTCGGAGGAAGCTCATTTCTGCCGCTTGTATCCGCGATCTCGTTCTTTCGGTCACTACCCACAGCTTGTGGCCATAGGTGAGGGTAGGGACGTAGATCGACCGGTAAATTGAGAGCTTCGCTTTTACACTCAGCTCCCTCTTCACCACGACGGACCGGTGCAGCGTCCGCATTACTGCAGCTGCAGCCCCAACCCGTCTGTCGATCTCCGGCTCCCTTCTCCCATCACTCGCGAACAAGACCCTGAGATACTTGAACTCCTCCACTTGGACCAGGAACTCATCCCCGACCCGGAGTGGGCACTCCACCCTTTTCCGGCTGAGAACCATGGCCTCAGATTTGGAGGTGCTGATCCTCATTCCCGCTGCTTGCTTCACACTCGGCTGCGAACCGTTCCGGAGAGGTATGCAGCTACCTTTGGAAACTATTCTTATAGTTGTCAAACACCATTGTTATTGATGTATATACTGAGGGGGGAGGTTGTCAAACGTCGTCTTTCTAACTTAATTATAGACTAGAAATCAGATCAATGCTTTCAATGCATTTTGTCTGTCAACACAAAAAAACAGCAGGTCCAATTTCATGAAACTGGTGGAGGGATGCACTGTGGGCATTCTGTTATGGATCTGGATCATTTTTATTCGCTTTCCTCTAAAACTGAATGAATGGCACAGGTTTCGCATTTGTTAACATTATGAACCATTATGTTTGCTGATTAAAGTTGTTGTGTGTGTAAGTAAAGTAACCCAATTTCTCCAATATGAGCATCAGTGTATTGGATGCTATATAGAGACAAAGCACTGTGTGCATCAGTGTCTGCTTTGGGCCCCAAACTGTGCGCGCATGTGTGTGTGTGTGTGTGTGACGGCCCAACAGTCCACATTCCACACCGTGGACTGAAATATTCAAATATGGACCATGTGCGTGTCTACAGTTGGGTGGAAAAGCTTTCTAGAACAAGAGAGATCTGAGCTTTAAAGGCTCATATTAAATATTCATTTAGTTCCCCATGAGACCTGTACCAATAAAATGGAAAATTACAGACCAGGCCTTGTTATAAAGTGAGTGATTACTCAATGAATATGCTTTATAGGACGTCTTAGGGTAGCTCTTTGCAAACCAGCATTGAATTGCTGTAGCTAGACACACAAATCATCGCTGTGTTTTCCACTTTCAAAACTGCATGTGCAGACTTCAGTATAAAGTAGGAATGCTCCATACACCAATACGTGTCTTTAGTTAAAATAATTATCAGAGTAAATATTAAACAAAATTACAGTGTATATTATCTCTTTGGTTTATAAGACCTGCAAGTTGCATGTTTTACTAACCTAAACCGATGAGGTGCTTGTGACCCATGCACGAGCAGGTCTTTCTTTAGTTTTAAAGCTCCAGTAATATGTAAAATGCAATTCTCTCATAATCTGCCATTTGTGTGTGGGATCTGCTCACAAATGAACTTATCTGAAGCTGTCCCTTGTATTGTGGTAATGAATAGACTGACAGAGAGAAAAATGGTTAGAGGAAAAGCGACTTACGTGGGCTCTTTTGGCAGAGACGTAGGGAGCGGATCTGGATCTGGAAAAGAAGACAAGGGGATTTTTTTACTACAGGATAAACAATATTGTTTCCAGATTTTTCTCTGTGGAAGCTGCCAGCTACAAGAGGAATCAGCTGAGATGAGTGCTGCTATGAGGAACCAGATCTCTAGGAAAAGAAATAGAAATAGGTGGGGGGGAAATGGACGGCAGTAAGTTTTTAAAAGTTTGGCTGTTTTATCAGTTTGAGATTTACAGATGCTTAGATGCTACTGGTAACAAAGTCTTCTCACCGAACTTGACAAACAGCACGCCCGTGGTGGAAACAGAGCCCTGGATGTTGGTGGCCACACACTGGAAGTATCCCGTGTCAGTAGTGTCCAGGCTGCGGATGCGGAGGCGTGATCCAAACAGCGTGGACCTGTAGGAGACCCGCCGCGGCTCCTGTACCACAGGAGCGTCGTTCTTAAACCAGCGCACAGTGGGTGGCGGGTTTCCGGAGACACGACACAAAAGCTCGGCCGTCTGGCCCACGGAGGTGGTTATGTTGTTCATGGGAGCGTCAAGGCGGATGAAGTGAGGTCCTGGTAGGCAGTGTAGGTAGGATAAAAGAAAAGAATACAAGAGAGAGAAAGAAGAGACAGATGGTGATCATGTGCATGCATTCTTTACAGATTATGAAATGTATGTATTTTCAACGGATTAATTTAGTTTTCTTTGTTCTTTTTAAATGTACTTAAAGATGTTTGTAGTGCAGTAAAAACAACTGCAAAGTGCAGTTTTTTTTTTTGCCCTGTTGAAACCAAAACCAATTTATTATACCTGATACACACGTACACACACACACACACACACACACATATATATATATATATATATGTGTGTGTGTGTGTGTGTGTGTGTGTGTGTGTATGTACGAACTAGACCATGAATGAAGAAAATCAAGAAAACTGTACTACACAGCCCAAGAACGATGACATAAATCAAACAACACTTACTATACTACCTCAGAGCCAGATATTAAATAAAACATGCTGCTGTGTGAAAAAGAAATGCGGTAAAACAAACTCCGTGTTTTCAGACACACATATTCAGAGCCTGGTTTCACAAGTTATTTTGCGGTTGCCACTGTTGTGACACCTAATTTCTCTTTTCATCATGGCTGTATGATGCCAGAGGGTTTCCCCCTCAGATTTATGTGTCTGAGCTCATGAGGCAATATCACCTGCGTTGCGGTCTTCGAAAAAAAGAAGAATCAAATTTAAAATGACTGGTTCCCAGTGTTTCGTGCCTGTTTTCATACAGTCAAAACAAACAGCTCTTGATTACTGTTATGAATGAGAGGAATGATTACGGCGAGCAAAAAGTGCCTCGCCATGGAAACCAATTCATGAAGGGTAATGCTATTAGAACACACTGCAATACAAAGATGAACTAAATCGTGATTCCCTCCAGAACCGTATTTTTCCCCTTAAGCTGGTCAGTAAAAAAATAACTATCTGGAGGGCCACCTAAGAGTTTAATGTGCAGGAAAAACATTGGTCTTAATGTCATGAAAAACCTCTGGAAAGTTCTCTCAACCCCAAAACCTGTGTTAGGTATGCAGAAATGTTCCTGGTTACACAAACTGGCCAAGACAAACAAATGAGGAAAAGCACATACAGAAGAATCTCAAATACCAGTCAAATGAAAAATGAATGTGTGTGAATAGAGAGGTTGATGGGTATAAATAGAGGCGCACACTTACTTGTGCGAGTACACCGGCACTCAGATTTTTACTACTGTATTCCATGCAAGATTAACTTCAAGGTTTTCCAAGGAATGTTAACAGAAAATTAACCGTATCAACATCGACATCTATGGAGGCGAACATGCTGATGATAGAAGAACTGCATAAAACAGCGCTCATTCATATTACAGCCTCGTTTGAATAAACTTTCCTTGGGTTGGAGTGCGGGCCAGCTTTCTTTCACTGTGAGCATCCCATGTTGTGGTTGGTGGAATGATTCATGCAGTGTCTGTACAAAAGTTGGAGGGGCAGTCAGGCAGAAGAATGTGTAGTGTAACTTAGTAAAACGTCTACAATGTAAGACAAAAAACTGCAATCAAGCAAAAGGTGTCCACCTACATATTGAGCTTCATCGTGGGCAGTCTTTGTTTAAGGCTTTTGTAAAAGAAGAGAGAAGTCATCGGAAAAAATGGAACATGTGTGTACTTTATGTTCTTTGAGTGTATGGTGTAAAAACCTGAGCACATGGCCTCTATCTCAGTGCATGTGCTTGGCAGGTTGTAGAACACACACTCACAGCTTCTTCCATAAAGACTGAGGGCTTAACACAGCACTGTGGTACTAACAAGTACCGCCCCACCACCATCTCCTCTCCCCATTTTTCACCAACCTTAATATGACCTCTTTTCTCCATGTGCTTTACACAGTCCTGTATCTCAACATTACAGCAGCGAGATCAAACCCTTCAGGAGGTCGATGCTTTTAAAGTCAGCTGGAACAATGACTGTAAACCTTCATCCAATTTTCCTTTTTATTTACTCCTCCACTCCACCGCTGATGTGTGTACTTCGTTTCCACACATAAAAACTGGAAATGCTTTAGCATGACATCACGTAGACACAATGTATGCGTCACAGGGCTTTGCCGAAAGCTGTGAACCTGTTTCACATTTATCTATGACAACGACACACACAAACAGAAAATATTCCCCGAGTGAAGCCGTCTCCGCGTGCCACTTGTTGGTTTTCATAACTTGTTTATCCAGCTGTTTTGCTACTTTGTGTTTTGTTTTACTTTTAAATTGAATTTGTCCAATCCGATTATGTTACTGTTTCTAACGATCTTAAAAGTCACGAGACGACCATAAACATACCGAGATCGGTGGCGAGATTACGTTCCGTGTCTGTTAAGTCCAGTTTCACGCACATTAGGCAATGATATTTTCTTATTTAACTTCACTGTGGAGCACTGTGTATACTCAATTTGTCGCATTAACCCTCTCGCGGCTGCAAAAAAGGTAAAAAATGTGCTCTGACCTCAAGTCTGGTGCAATCTATCACTGCCGGTCAGTCAAAATGCACTGGAAGTCCAGACATCAGTTACAGAGAAGAAAACGCTCTGGAATTTGTTGCTGATTTGTTTCTCAAAAGTAATTATGAGTCTGAAAGCATTCATTAAAGCAGTTAGACAGCTTTTAAACTTAAGGAGTAATAACTACGCTATTGGCATAATGTGCCTATTTCCTGATACTTGGTTTGCTTCGGGCTCTGTTTCTCTCCGTCGTTTACATTATACTGCAATTTTTATGATTTCTGTCTGTACTGAATGTTGGAATGTCAGTAATCTGGTACTTCAGGGATGTCAAATCCCGGGTCTCATACAACCCACTTAGATCTCAAGTGGGCTGGGCCACTCAAGTTTCCCCTTTCAGTGAGTGTGAACAAGTTTAACACCTCAGATATCTTAATATGAGACAAAGAAGTATAATTTTAACAGCTAGAAAATATTCTGGTAGCTCACTGCTCAGCTTTACTGTTGAGTCAAAGAAAATGTCCAATATTTTTCCATTTTAATTTTAAATTGAAATTGGAACTTTTCTGTCATTTAATTTTTTATCTATAACTTTATTACTTAGTTGTTGTATGAATGCCCTTGGAGAGGAAAGACTTTCAAATGTATGAAAACACAGTTAAAAGTCAAGTTTATGCCCTCCTTCAAAATGTCCAAAGGCATCCACTGGGCCTGATCGGAGTCTTTGGTGGGCCAATTCTGGCACCCGGGCCTTATGCTTGGCAACCCTGTTTTAGTGAGTGGACTACGTCGTATTACTGCTTTTCCATTGACAAGAGGCTGGTGCCTAATGTACAACTGCTTCCATGAATTTTCATTAGTTGAGTTGATGGAAAACAAAAATGCTCTTTGGAGCGGCGTGCCTGCACACTTCATTAGCCGTTCTAATAACTCATAATAAAGCAGCGGGGAGCAGAACGAAGAGCGAAAAAAGAAAAAGAGACAAGAGGAGAAGACAAAAGAAGAGAGGTCAAGAGGAAAAAAGAGAAGGAGGAGAAAGATGTCCCGCCAATGCCTGTGTAACAAAGCCACTCTGTATGTAATTGTCCCGTGGTGAGTGTTGTGGTATTTGGCACAAGGAGGATGCTGAAACTCAAACCCTTTCTGCGGACTGTCCCTTTAATGTGGCAGGGGAGCTAAACGGTGTCCTGTCATCAGCCTGCATTTTCCTTGCAGTAGTTTTTGCACAATCAAACGCTCACATGCAGGCACATATATGTAAACAGCCGCACACCCACACAACCGCCAAGTAGACAAACTATACGTGCTCGAAAACTGCACACATTACTCAATACCTTTTCATGACATTGTATTCTATATGGTTTCAGTGAACATACATACAGTAGGGGTGTGACCGTCGGGCTCCTGTCAACAAAACGCAGGTTCAGAAACACGAGTGGCTGCAAAGCTAACTAAACATATTCAACAGATACACTGAGGGCCTCGCACTATAGTGCTTCCAGCTTCCAGCTGTGGGTAAAGATGAAGTTAATTAAAGCTGGGTCACTATCCAGCAAAGCAACAGAGGAAAGGAAGTAAGTAAAGAAAAAAAATGGGTACAAAATGAAACAAAGAAACAGAGAGCAATAATGAAAGAAAGCCTGCAGGGAAATGAGTTCAGTAAACTATCATCACCCCTGATTTCAGCCCAGTAATGAGCCTCTTTCAGCACGATAACTTCCTGCTACTGATGCATACTGATAGAGCCACGCTACCTGAATTGTGTCTGTTTGGTCAATCAAAACCATCCCCGCCTGCAGACAAAACAAGGGGTGCAATCACCCTCCATCCATCAGATAAGAAACAGATGTAAGCACAGGAGGGCTGAGCACTAAATGACAAACACATACACATATACTTTACGTTTATAGGTTTTCATATTTGATGATGTGGAAAAATAAAGCTCTCTGGATGATTTGTTTGGATCTCATTATATTTATGACTGTTTTTGAAAAATCCTTGATTGGTCAACATAATCATAATATCTTCACTAAACTGCTCAGTCTTGTCCAGAAACTGGTGTGTGTCTGCTTTTGTGTACACAGAATTTTCTGTGGGAACGAAGCTGTGGGAGAGTTGGCGTTTCAAGAGATGAATTAAGCAAACCAGACGAAATGAGAGAGCCAAACTAAGGTTCGAGTTAAATACAAACTTTAAGTTGAGCATTTTCCAGTCAGTGTTTCTTTGTGAGAGGCAGATGTTTGCTCTTTTAGCCAAAGATAAACTGTGGAGAGGGGGTGCAATTTAACGGATACATATGGGCAACGACGTTGAGAAAGTACCCAGAAACGTATTGCATCCCACATACATCATACTTACTGATAAGTTTGTTCTCTTGCAAAAGCATTGGACTTGTCATTGAACACATGAATCCAGGGCAGCAATTCACCAGCGTCTTTACCAGCACATGTCTAGAGACCAGTTTGTGACTGCCTGGAAATTCATTCTCAGGTGAAAAATGAGTATTCCCTTATGGGTTGTAAGTGATTGCTGGAGATTTCTTGCGGGAGGTTGCTTGCTGTTGCTAGGTGAAATTAGTTCCCAAGAGGTAGACGGTGCGAAATCGTTCTTGCGATGGCTTTGGTTGCTAGTAAATTACAGGGTCCTTACAGTGGAGCACAATGACTTGTCTGAAGTGATTGAATGACTTTGAAACTGCTGCTGCTTTTGAAGTCAAAATGGGAAAAGTGAAAGTTGTGCATTCTGATATGTGTTAGCTTCAGATGGGAAATGTTCTCCATTTCTGGTTTGCGATGCAGTTTTTCAAGTATTGCTTTAGTTCAGAGAGCAAAATGATTGTGTATGTAGACAAGTCAGCACCTTCCATGCTATCTGCAAGCAGCTAAAGCAATCATGTGGAGGTTTTTTTTCTGGGAGTTACGAGGAGACCTTTTATTTTAAAATGTTCTTCATATCAGCAGTACAGGAATCAGAATAATGGAAATGGAAATAAAGGAATAATGTTTATTTGGAGAGAAAAAATCTAAGTAACCAAGGAAGGAAGACATTCTGGTGAAGCTCAGTTCCATGCTTAAGACGATTGCTTAGAAAGAAAAATCAGAGACAAGTGAGGGAATCAGAGTCCAACTCTGTTTATATAATGTCAATAATCTGCGTTTATGAAATGAAAACTGTGCAAATCAAACACGAGAGGACTGTGGAGTACACTGATTATGCAGTGCAGAACCACAAGAGTTACTGTGCTGTTCCTCTGTGAAGCCAAGTGTTTTGGCCAGCTCTAACAAACAAGCCCACCCAGGGCTCCATATATGCTTGAAGCTAAAGACGCAACAAAGAATAAAATGGATGCTGTGCAAAGAGAAATTAAGTCATATGTTGTCCTTAACTCCATCCCTATATTTTGGAGAAAAAACAAACACAGGCATTTTTTCCACAAAAAAACTGAATAGATTTGATGCATGTCATTTGGGCTGATTGTTCTCTTTGTTCCTAGATTGCCAAGACTTTGTGGAACAATTTAATATAAAGGAAAAAAAAACATATTCTGATTGTTGAGGGTTAGGGTTAGGACTGGGCTCATTGCGATGAAAACTTAAGACCTCAGAAGTACTCAAGTGCATGTCCAGAGCCCACAAATGTTGGTAAAAACATGAGGTCAAAATGGGAAGTTTAAGAAGATGTACTAAAAGCAGCAGCACCTTGGAGACTACACTGGTATTTTCCACTTAAGAAAGAGTATATCAGAGAAAGAGAAATACAATGCTCCTGTGGCTGTATTTCCATATGTTGAGTAGATCAATGTGCAATTTGTTCTGTCAATTATCTGCTCTGGTGCCTTACACTACAGTGGGCGTCTGGGTTGCTGAAGTCAACCATGTGGAGGATGTGTAATTTTTAACACTTCATTTAAAGTAATTTCAGCAGCACATGTGGGGTTACAGTTCAACACTGCGTGTGTTAATTTGAACTATGAACATGTCATCATCATGTTGTCTCTAACAGATGTGCTCATAGTTTTGCCAGAGTGAGCTTTGTTAAGAACGTCATGCATGGGTTATCTGTGGTGTGTGTGTGTGTGTGTGTGTGTGGTGTGGTGTGCATTTACCATCGCTAGAGGTGTTCCACAAAGTGGAAGCTTGCATACTGGGATCTTGGGGGAACTCAGATCCTGTGAAGAGAGGAAATGAAAAGTAGAAAAGCAAAACTTTTATTTTTAAATGCTTAAACATTAAATGCTTTAAAAGGTTGAAGAATTGATGTCTTGCATATATTTTCCACTAGCAAAATGATGATGATGTTGATGTTAATGCTAACTACCATTTAGCATTAACATGGGTTGTATCTGATGCTTTTGTGTGTTTTTAGTATTTATGACATAGACAATTTATTTAAGGTCGGAGACTCAACAAACTGCAGTGGAGTCCACCTACGCCACTGATAAAACCACTGGTTGCAAGCAAAATGTTTGTATTCCCCAACTGGTGGGTGAGTCCTTATTGGAGGTTCCTGACTGTTGCTAGGTGATATTGGTCACAAAGAGGGTGCTACACTAAAAACTTCAAGAGGCTGATTTGCCTGCAAACACTACTGTTTTGCTGTATGTAGCGATACTCAAAAAGTAGATCACAAAGTGGAAGTAGAGGACATCTACCCAAATCAGAAATGGCACATGCCTTCTTATAGAGTGAAAACTGGGCTTCAGCACTGCAGCCAACATGTTTCAAAAAAACTTTTATTTTGAAAGTGAGTCTCTCAGTTTCCGGTTTGTGCCACACTTTTTACAATTTCCCTCCTTTTTAGAGAGTAGCTGGCGAGTGCTTGGGCCCAAGTTATCATGTTTCATGCAAACCACAATTTCCTAGTAACCAAAGCAATTGCAAAGATGTTTTTGCCAGCCGCTTGGGGATTGCACTTTTTTCTCTATCAACCTGTGGTTGCCACTGGATGACTGACCATTCTCTAGGCATATGTCACTGGGGCTTTATCAATGGATTTCCCAGAGACTGTCATCAACCTCCAGCAACCACTCACCAATAGTCGGGGAACACACGACTGGTGGTCAGCAGATGGTCATGGACGAGTCTCTAGGCCTGTGTGGCTGGGCCTTGTTCACTTGACCCTACATTGTCACCATTATTGTCATGTTCCTGCAAAACATCAAGGTAACTTGACTTGTGTTTAAAACAGCTAGTTTAAAACGACAAAAACAATCAGCTTTACAGCTGCATTCTTTACACCTGAAAGCTATATCCAAATGTAATCCACATCGTTGTGACAAAGTAAAAAGAGGGTCACAGACTCAAACTTTCTGAGCCAGTGGCATGGACCTACATTTAAACAATGCTTAACCACAATTCTGGAGAAACTTTTCTATATAAAATACTGTGTACAGACACAAACGCACTGCTTCTTAAATGTAAAATAACAGTGGTGATAACGCTGTACATTTGCTAGTGCAGATCAAAGGTTTGTGTGTACAACAGGGAGCCTATCAACAAGCCGTGTGGACCTAATGCGCTCTTATTACCAGCTGAAGACAGAGCTGCTCTCTGCTTTTCATTACTGGGGAGAAGAGACAGAAGATCGGCTTCAGAGCGCAGTGCTGCAGGTCATAGGTGATTCCTAACAAATTAAACAGCCAAAAATGAAGGACTGGCGAAAAACTCTAAGCTGTTTTACCTTCACTGATTCTCAGGGCACCAGACCGCTGACAAACTTTCAGTTCACATACAACATCCCACAGTTCTAGCCGGCTACAACAGTGTGTGAGTCTGTGTGTTTTGGTGCAGGCTGGGATAGTTTAGCATGATGAATAGGCAAATGGTTGCCATCCAACTTTGGGAAAGTAACCAAAAGTCACAAACGGATGTGGAAATGCAAGCATGTGCATGGACACAGCTGAGAATTGGCTGCAAACTTAACTATACTCATGGTGCATTTGTTTTACACATACACACAAAAAATACAGAATTCCTAAACTAAAATGTCATAAATATTTTTGAATTAACAACTTGAAAACTGACAGTGCGTGGCATGCAGGGTGACAGTCGAGGAGAGAAAGTCTGCAGACAAACAGCACCAGGAGCCTGGTGACACAGGGTCACGCTAATTGGGTGATAATGTGTCAAGATGGTAACGACTATGTGGTGGTGCTTGTGAAATGAACTGTGTTAATGAGCAGCGCTTTGGGCCTCAGCACCTGTTAGTGAGGAGTCTGGAAGCTTGGCAAAAGGCTCACAACAACAGGCTCACAGTTATGGGTGTTATGTTCATGACTGTTAGAGATATGTAGCAAACCCAGAGGGCAGAAATAGAGTCAAAATGTGTCTCTTCACTAAATTAGTAGTTCTTCTGTAATGCTACCTGATTCCACAAGCTATTCTGCACTTTTGGAGTTAGAATGACTTGCTGGTTTCTTCCAGGAGGCTACTAACAGTGTCTTATGGCATGTCCCGGCCCCACGGTGAGTCTAAATTTACTTTGTGTTCTCTACTGTTAGACTAAGAAGTCTGGAGCTCTGTGCTTTACAAAGGACAGAGGAGAGTGGACGTCGCAGCTCACTAGCTTCACCGACACAAAGCTAGCCAAGGGCAGCCAGGTGAGAGTTCAATAGAAGTGGATGGTCGTGGGAATATAATGAGGGAAGGGGGAGGAGGACGAAGTGCTCGTTTATGAAAAAGAAGGCACAACTGTGTACTTCTGAGAAAAAAAATGTTATCATTCCAGAAAGATTTGAAGTTTATAATTTTGTTCAAAAACAAACACTTGTGCACAGCGATTTTGCTGTTATGTCTAAGGTCTGCTTACTTCCTGTGTTTCATTTTTTTCCCACATTGTGTGCCCTTTAAAGAGAACACATCTGTTCTCTTTCATTAAGACAATCATCTGAAATATCTAGGAGAAAATGCAGAGCAATTTTGAGATTAGCTTTCTAATGTTTCTCAGCAGTGGAGGGGAGCTGTTGTATTAGATCTGTTTGTTAAAAAGGGCCTAAAAATAGATCCCAGGTTTCATCAGCTGTGGTTCTGGCCATTGATTGACTCACGATATGGATACTGACTGCAAGACCCATATGTACCTCTGTACTGAATCCCTGTCTGTCAATATGAATAACCAAAAAAGAACAAAAGCATTGCTTGCATTATAATATAGGGAGGAAGAAAGCATGCACATATGTGTACCAGTCAAGTCTTTCAACCATGAACAGGCTGTTTCCAGTAACACTGTCTCAGAGTTGCCAAAATTTTAAATTACTGAGGTGACAGATCAGAAAATAGTGATGAGAAGGGAAACAGAGATAAGGAGTTTCAACAAATTCAACCTATTTTTTGCATCAGGAAATATCACATGAACATATATATCAGATAAAGGTACCTGTGTTAGCACAAATATATAATCAGCCAATCACATGACAGAAAACCCCACCCACATTTAGGCATGTACACATGCCCAAGACAACCTGCTGAAGTTCAAACCGAGCATCAGAATGGGGAAGAAAGGTGATTTAAATGACTTTGAATGCAGCATGGTTGTTGGTACCAGACAGGCTGATCTGACTATTTTTGAAATTGCTGATCTACTGGGATTTTTCCACAGAACCATCTCTAGGATTTACAGAGAATGGTCAGAAAAAGAGAAAATATCCAGTGAGCAGCAGTTCTCTGGGCAGAAATTTGTTGATGCCAGTGGTCAGGAGAATGGCCAGACTGGTTGGCGCAGATAGGAAAGCAACAGTAACTTGTAACAAACAAGGTATTTAGACGAATCTATCTGAGTGCCTGCGTCAAACGTCAAGCGTCAAGACTCTGACGGAAGCAGCTGGAGTACAGCCAGGTGCTCCTGTTATCAGCTAAGAGTAAGAAACTGAGGATACAGTTCACATGGATTCAGCATAACTGGATAACAGAAGATGGAAAAATGTTGTCCGGTCTAATGAGTCTTGATTTCTGCTACAAAATTCGGATGGTATGATGAGAATTTGGAATATCCTATCCTATCCTGCCTTCTATCAAGAGTTAAAGCTCATCTTCCCAGTTTCTGATTGCTGCTTCTAGTAGAACAAAATGCTGTTTCACAACGCTAAAATCATCTCAAACTGCTTTCTTGAACGTGACAGTGAGTTTGCTGTACTCAAATGGCCTCTACAGTCATCAGATTTCAGTCCAACAGAGATTCATATTATAGATGTGCACCACGCAAATCTGCAGCAAATGTGTGACGCTATCATGTAAATATGAACCAAAATCTTGGAGAAATGTTTCCAGCAGCAGATTGAATCTATGCCTTGAAGAATTTTCAAAGTCAAAATCAGGTTCAACCCAGACCTAGCAATGTGTACCTATCAAAGTGATCTAAGGAGCTTGGAAACAAAAGCAACTGGACTTCTTTAAGTTTCTCAAAAATAGCTCACCTCTCGTCTGAGAAGCTTGGTGGAGAGTCCAAGGTATTTAAGGCTCAGTTGGAGTTGTCCCTTAAGTGGGAAATTGACCTAGTATTGATCATGTGCCTCTTTAAACTGAGCCAAGATGTGAAAAAGGCTATTGGTCATTATCAGCAGAGGTTTTGTGTGAAGCCGTTGCGTTTATGAAGTGGCTCAGCCACTCCAAAAATGCATGGCACAACACAGAAGAGACACCTCAACAGGATAAAGGTCACATTTTGATAATATTTTTACCATTCACATTTAGGCATCTGAAATAGGGATAAGATCAGGATGCAAGTTTTGTACTACAAGAGTCCAGCTAACTTTAAGCTGTGCTTCTGTAGTTTCAAATAATTTTCATTTCAAAAGTCACAAGTTACTTTTCCAGATTTTCCAGATTTCCATATCTTCCCATTGGTTTTTATTATAGTGATGATTATCACAACTATTAAATTTTTTTTTACCTCTAAGTACTTTTGAAGGCAAGCAATTGGACTTCACTTGGAAAAATAAAACTGTGAACATATTTTCCATAGCATGTCAGAAGTGACACTTTTAAAAATTCAATTCTGGTATGGCAGTGAACGCCCATCAAAATTCTGGATACGTGACATTCTTTATAAGAGTATCATGTTCCCTTCTTGGCTGCTTTGTCATACTTTATTCCCGTTAAAGCTTTGGAACGTCCTCTTTCATTTGCAGCTGAGTGCCACTCCTAGTAGCAAAATATGCAGTAAATGGTTAAC